CCAGACAGGAGAGAACAGTCACTTCACCTAGGTGATTGACAAAAAGTATGTCATAATGTTCCCTGTGGGGAGAATTAAGGCAGAACAAGCACATCGCCTAGGTGCTGGGCCCAGTGATATGTCACAATCTTTGTGCTCAAAGCCTTGACACAAGAGGAGAGTCACATCACCAAGGTGTTGTATTCAGAAATATGTAACAATCACTTCTAAGTGACAGGTTCAGGCCAATGAGGACAGTCATATTACCTTGGCGCTTGGCCTTGGTATATGTCACAATTTTATCTGTGGGCTGGGCCCAGTCAGAAAATAAAAATCACTCAGGATATGGGCAAAAGCATATGTCACAATCACACTTCCACAAAAGTTCAGGGATGAGATAATCCCAAACACGTCCAGCTTTAAGGATGACAGTCAGCGCCTCCGGTGTGTTCAGTTCATTTACGCGAGTCAGAATCTAGATATTGGGATAGATTGGTGCCTGGGAATCTCAAGTCAAGCTTCAGATTGTGTCCTGGTAGTAGAGTCACAGCCTCAGAGGTGTGATGAATCTTGGTCTGAGAGTCATTATCTTATCTGTGAACCTGATCCATGTATGAGACTCACAATTCCAACTTTTATCTGCCTCCGAGTGTGAAATTCAAAACCTGAACAATGGGCTATGTCTGTTTAAGAGGGTGAAAATCCTTAGTGTAAACTGGGTTTGCTGAGGGTCACTATCTCACCTGTGCACTGGGCCCTGTTATCACACTCTTGGTGCCACCCGAGGGCTTTCTATGGTATGCCTGAAAGTCACAATCCACACTTAGATCTATGTGGTGGTATGAACTCATGATCTTACTCATTGTCATAATCACAGGAATGAGAGCTAACATCTCTCTTATTGGCGAGGATCAGACATGACAGTTCTCACTTTTCCTGCGAGTTGGATGCAGAAAGAAGTCATCATCCTACCTCTGGCCAGATTCACATATGACAGTCACAATTTGAACTGTGGAGAGTATCCACATGTGATACTCAGGACCTCACCAGTGGAAAGATAATGTCTTTATTTTTCATTTTACTTACTTTGTCTTCATAAAGGATGTATGTCAATTTTATTCTTCATTCTATAAAAGTAACTAGCTTATAAACAACTTTATTTCTAATTCACTAGTTTTTCTAGCCAAACCAATTGTTAGCAACTTCTATTTTAATTAAAAGAAGGAAGTTTACACTCATATTAATGTCACTTTTTTCTCTCACTTCTAACAATGGTTGAGATAAAATTGTGTTTCACCAAAAACGTGACTCAAACTCTGTTTAAACTCCTAAGCTTTGTGACCTATTGAGTAATAATTAAATTTCTGTATTCAGCCAAGTCTGTAAATCCTTGAGAAAAAAAAAAAAATCACTGTACCTCGACCAAAGTCCCGGGCTTCTATTCAAAAGATTCTCATGTGCTAGTATACAATTCAAAAGCAGTTTTAAAGATTAATCTTGCTCAAACCAGTATTAATACATTTAATGTTTTTTCCTCCATCCTTCTAAGTTTTAGAAGTCTACTTTTGGAAGTACAGTAAGTTTTAATTTCCTGTCAGCAAGTTTGAGAAATGACCACTTGGAATATTCACTGTGGGTAAAATAAAGGTTTATTGTGCAAATTAATAGGGCAAATGGCTTTATGAACAGATTTTGGAAAATATTTTCATAGGTGAGCAGTACCTTGTTCTCAATGGAATGCATGGACCACATTTGATTACTTATGCAAGTTTTCTTAAAATATATGTCTGCATAGCAAAGACCTGGAACCAACCCAAATGCCCATCAATAATAGACTGGACAGGGAAAATATGGCACATATACACCATGGAGTATTATGCAGCCATCAAAAACAATGAGTTTGTATCCTTTGTAGGGACATGGATGAACCTGGAAACCATCATTCTCAGCAAACTGACACAAGAGCAGAAGATCAAACACCGCATGTTCTCACTCATAGGCGAGTGTTGAACAATGAGAACACATGGACACAGGGAGGGGAGCACTACACACTGGGGTCTGTTGGGGGGAAATAGGGGAGGGTCGGTGGGGGGTGGGGAGTTGGGGAGAGATAGTATGGGGAGAAATGCCAGATATAGGTGATGGGGAGGAAGGCAGCAAATCACACTGCCACGTGTGTACCTATGCAACAGTCCTTCATGTTCTTCACATGTACCCCAAAACCTAAAATGCAATAAAATAAATTAAAAAAAAATGTCTGCAATCTCACACTTCTTCCTACCTCCACCTCTTCTTCAACTAGGCACTCAGAAGCCTTTTAAGGAACTAGAAATGAATGTGAGGCATTCTTTTTTTTTTATCTGAGATGGAGTTTCGCTCTTGTTACCCAGGCTGGAGTGCAATGGCGCGATCTCGGCTCACCGCAACCTCGGCCTCCCAGGTTCAAGCAATTCTCCTACCTCAGCCTCCTGAGTAGCTGGGACTACAGGCACGCACCACCATGCCCAGCTAATTTTTGTATTTTTAGTAGAGATGGGGTTTCACCATGTTAACCAGGGTGGTCTTGATCTCTTGACCTCGTGATCCACCCGCCTTGGTCTCCCAAAGTGCTGGGATTACAGATGTGAGCCACCGCGCCCAGCCAAGACATTCTTATACGGATAACAGCATCTCAGAAGATTCTGACTTTAACCCAACTCAATCATTCCCAAACTTTGCTATACATTGGAAACTTAGAAAATTTTAACAACAATCCTGATGTCCAAAGTTATAAACAATGCTAATTAAATCAAAATATCTCTTGATAAAAGAAAGGCAGTGTTTAAAGCTCCTCAGGAGATTCCAATGTGCAGCAAAGTTTGAGAGTCACTGCCTGATTTGAGTTTAGGACGACAAGCTGCTCCCATTTGGTGGTATCTTTTGCAAGTCAGTTTTCAGCTTTGGTTTTCTTATCTGTAAAATGGTGTTGGATTACATTTCATTAAATCACTGGTCCTTTTCAGCAGGTAACTTCAAATTCTGTGATTTTAAAATTATTTTAGAGAGTAAAGCTTCTTGAAGCACTATAGACACAGCCATTCTAGATACTAATGTTACAGGCTTTTTAAAAAGTGCGAATATTATGTAGACCAACTGTTAAAATTCAGATTTGCCTTCCCTCAATTATTTGAGCCTCATTTTGGATGCTGTGGGCAGATGGAAGAACATAACTTATGTAAAAGAACCTCTTGTTTTCTGATACACAGTGTCTGCAGATAACCTAGTAATTCAATAACATATATCTGAAGTTTTATCTGTTCATCAATATTTCATTTAAACTAATTGAAAATACCTGCCATTCGGGTGTTGAACAATGCAAACACATGGACTCAGGGAGGGGAGCACTACACACTGGGGTCAGCTGGGGGGAAATAGGGGAGGGATGGTGGGGGGTGGGGAGCTGGGGAGAGATAGCAAGGGGAGAAATGCCAGATGTAGGTGATGGGGAGGAAGGCAGCAAATCACACTGCCACGTGTGTACCTATGCAACAATCTTGCATGTTCTTCACATGTACCCCAAAACCTAAAATGCAATAAAATAAATAAGAAAGAAACGAAGAAAGAAAGAAAGAAAGAAAGAAAGAGAAAGAAAGAAAGAAAGAAAGAAAGAAAGAAAGAAAGAAGAAAGAAAGAAAGAAAGAAAGAAAGAAAGAAAGAAGAAAGAAAGAAAATACCTGCCATTAATAATACACTGTGTAGTGGTAATGCTGCATTGTTCTTAGTACTGCGTATTTTCACAGAGCTATCATCAATTTTGTGTGCACTTAGGTTTACTAACATATTTCTTTCTTTCTTTTTTTTTTTTAAAGACGGGGTTTCACCATGTTGGTCACGCTGGTCTTGAATTCCCGACCTCAGGTGATCCACCTGCCTTGGCCTCCAAAATGCTTGGATTACAGGCGTGAGCCACCATGCCTGGCCTACTAACATATTTCTAATTATGCAAAAGTGATTTTAAATAATTTAATTTGGTATAAAACACTTTTATCATTAATTTTTAAAAATAATAAAACGGGCAGAAGAGATGGGCAGGAGAGAGTTAATTAAATAAACTAAAATGCAGGGCTTAATAACTTAAAAAAACCCTACTGTATGGCTTAAATTTAAGCATATGTACACAGAGGTATATATTGCATGGGATGAAAGGTTTTGTGGGTAGAAGAGCATCTAACAGGGAAATAGGTTATTATTTATATGTCATAATTATCAACAGAAACGTTTCTTCTAACAGTATATTGCCTAGCATTTTGGTCCTCCTATTTTTGTTAAAAGTCAAAAAACTAAAACAAGAATATAATGCCTTGATGGTACTGTTCTGAAGTAGAAGATTTAAACTTCAGGGCCACTGGGATAATTTCTTCTTCCCCCTTTAAAAAAAGTCTTTAGGCCCAACAAATGATAAAATCTATTGTTTTGGGTATTTTTTCTTTCTATGGTGTGGCCTTAGTGATATATTACCACATGAAGAAAAGGTGAGCTCTTTTAAAACCTTTCTTGTTATTCCAAATAATTACTGTTTATAATATCAGGCTCAGCATTAGTTCACAGCTATAGACATCGTAAGTTGTATTGTGTCTACTAAAATATTAAAGCACATTGTGTTTTCAGTCACCCTTAAGACAAGTCCTAAATTATTGAGAATTCCAAAGAATCTGTAGTGATATTTACTGTGTTAGAAATTAGAATTGAGATCTTTAAAAAAAATTGGATTCTGGTTTAGATTTTACAACCTTAACACTACTGATATTTTGAGCCACATAGTGCATTGTTGTGAGGAAATAAAAGCTTGGTGGGTGCATTGCAGAAAGTTTAGCAGCATTGATGGCCTCTACCCACTAGATGTCAGTAGTGAGCAATAACCCAGGCTGTGACAGTGGCAGATATTTTTTGAGAAATGTATCATTGAGCTCGGGCGGCGGGGGAGCGGCAGCGGCCAGGCAGCCCAGCTTCGCAAAGGCACCGGCACGCGCCTCCCCGCCGCCAGGATGCCCAAAAGGAAGGTCAGCTCCTCCGAAGGGGCAGCCAAGGATGAGCCCAAGAGGAGATCCGCGCGGTTGTCAGCGAAACCGCCTGCAAAAGTGGAAGCGAAGCCGAAAAAGGCAGCAGCAAAGGATAAATCTTCAGACAAAACAGTGCAAACAAAAGGGAAAAGGGGAGCAAAGGGAAAACATGGTGAAGTGGCTAACCAAGAAACTAAAGAAGATTTACCTGCAGAAAACGGGGAAATGAAAACTGAGGAGAGTCCAGCTTCTGATGAAGCAGGAGAGAAAGACGCCACGTCTGATTAATACCATATATCATGTCTTCGCAGTGGTCCGTCTCTCCCTTCTTGTACAATCCAGAGGAATATTTTTATCAACCGTTTTGTAAATGCAAGTTTTTCAGCAGCTCTAGAGGCATTTTTAAGAAGGAGGGAATCCCACCTCATCCCATTTTTTTAAGTGTAAATGCTTTTTTTAAGAGGTGAAATCATTTTCTGGTTGTTTATTTTTTGGTACATCCAGAAAATAGTGTGGGATATTGAATTATGGGAGGTTTTGACTGTCTCGGGTGTCAGCTTAACATTCCACAGATGGGAGGGTTAGTTTTTATATCCTATAATACAAAGCATATTCAATGGCAATATGGAGTCAGTCCTGCATTTAATGTCTTGAACATTTTAAATTACTTCTATTCCTATGTTGTTTTTTTAGTAGAATTGTTTCCTAAAGAAAACCACTCTGATTGTGTCTCTCCCTGTCAGAAGTGTGTGCACTCTGTAACATCTTTGGAGTGGTAGTCCTGTTTTCCTAATAACTTTGTTACTGTGCTGTAAACGATTAAAAATTTGAGCCGGACGCGGTGGCTCACGCCTGTAATCCCAGCACTTTGGGAGGCCGAGACGGGTGGATCACTAGGTCAAGAGATCGAGACCATCCTGGTCAACACGGTGAAACCCCGTCTCTACTAAAAATACAAAAAATTAGCTGGGCATGGTGGCACGTGCCTGTAATCCCAGCACTTTGGGAGGCTGAGGCAGGCGAATCGCTTTAGGCCAAGAGATCGAGACCATCCTGGTCAACACGGTGAAACCCCGTCTCTACTAAAAATACAAAAAATTAGCTGGGCATGGTGGCGCGTGCCTGTAATCCCAGCTACTCGGGAGGCTGAGGCAGGAGAATTGCCTGAACCCAGGAGGCGGAGGTTGCGGTGAGCCGAGATCGCGCCATTGCACTCCAGCCTGGGTAACAAGAGCGAAACTCCGTCTCAAAAAAAAAAAAAAAAAATTTGAATATGTAGTGTGCATGCTATTCAGTTGTGAATTGTTGGGATGGATGTAACAGCTTATCAACATGTGAAGAAGATACAGGTACTTGATAGCTTCTTAAGAAAAATTTGCTTCCAAATTTTAAGCTGGAAAGTCACTGGAAAAAGTAAAAAAGAATTACAATACATGGCTTTTTAGATTTTTGTTACGTATGTTAAGAATTAGGTACAAATTGAAATGTCTGTACTGATCCTCAACCAATAAAATCTCAATTATGAAACGAACAAAGAGAACTATATCATTAACATAAATAATATTTTTTAAAGAAAAATAACTTCTCTACAATAAAAACGTTAAGTAAAAAGTGTGCCGTATGTTGATATTATTGCAAATCTCTAAAGTTTGGCTTAATAGAAGACAGCCGAATTCTCTTTCTTGGCAATTTTTTTAGAGAAGCAATAATATGATCTAGCTTCATGCAAATATGTAGTTAGCAAAAGGTGTACCTTTAAAGCTTTTAGATAATTGTGAGTATTCTTTTTTCTTTTATTATTTTTTTAAGAAATTTCTAGCCCAAAGATCCAAATTTGTGAGTATTCTTTTTGTTTTCTTCTTTTTTTTAAATTGCATTTTAGGTTTTGGGGTACATGTGAAGAACATGCAAGATGGTTGCATAGGTACACACATGGGAGTGTGATTTGCTGCCTTCCTCCCCATCACCTATATCTGGCATTTCTCCCCATGATATCTCTCCCCAACTCCCCACCCCCCACTGTCCCTCCTCGATTTCCCCTCCGACAGACCCCAGTGTGTAGTGCTCCCCTCCCTGTGTCCATGTGTTCTCATTGTTCAACACCCGCCTATGAGTTAAAGCATGTGGTGTTTGATTTTCTGTTCTTGTTTCAGTTTGCTGAGAATGATAGTTTCTGATGAGCATTATTTAATACTACCTCAAAACCCCACAAGTGCTAGTTTCTTAGTTACAATGAAATTTTACGTATCAATACATTTATTCCACCAATACTCACTGATTTTCCTTGAACAGTAAATGGGTCTTTCCCCCATGCTTGCTTGTATAATAGTATGCATTGGTTATTTGCAAAACACTGGTTTGCATTTTATTGTGTAAAAAACCCACTGTTAGTATTACTATGTCTTATTAAGAGGTCTTTAAGTATTGAGACGCTGTCAAGTTTACAGTAGAAGCAGTGTGTTTCCCAAAGTTCTGATTTTTAGCTTGAAAGTTTGACTATTATCATTGAGAACACTTATTCTCTTTTTTAAACTTTTATAATTAAGTTCATAGGTATATGTGCAGGTTTGTTACATAGGTAAGCTTCCACCATGGTGGTTTGTTGTACATATTATTTCATTGCCCAGATATTAACCCATTAGTTTTTTTTTTTTCAGATCCTCTTCCTCTTTCCACCTTCCACCCTCCAAAAGATTTCAGTGTGTGTTCATGTGTTCCTATCATTCAGCTGTCACCAGTGAAAACATGCAATATTTGGTTTTCTGTTCTTGTGTTTGCAAAAGATAATAGCTTCCAGCTCCATCTATATTCCTACAGGGGACATGATCTTATACTTTTTATGCCTGCATAGTATTCCATGGTTTATATGCACCACATTTCCTTTATTCAGTCTAACATTGATGGGCATTTAGGTTGATTTCATATTATTGCTTTTTGAAATAGTGCTACAGTAAGCCGACATGTGCATGTCACTTTATAATTGAATGATTTATATTCTTTTGGGTGTATAGCCGATAATAGGATTGGTTGGTTGAATGGTAGTTCTGTCTTTAAGTCTTTAAGGAATCTCCACACTGTCTTCCACAATGGTTGAAAGAATTTACACTTTCACCAGCAGGGGAACACTTACTTTCTGCAATGTAAAAGGCTCACTTTATTCATTTTTGACAATGATAGATGTACTTTTAAGTAAAAATAAGCCCACATAGCCAAGACAATCCCAAGCCAAAAAAACAAAGCTGGAGGCATCATGCTACCTGACTTCAAACTATACTACAAAGCTACAGTAATCAAAACAGAGATATAGACCAACGGAACAGAACAGAGGCCTCAGAAATAACGCCACATTTCTACAACCATCTGATCTTCAACAAACCTGACAAAACAAGCAGTGGGGAAAGGATTCCCTGTTTAATAAATGGTGTTGGGAAAACTGGCTAGCCATGTGCAGAAAGCAGAAACTGGATCCCTTCCTTACACCTTATACAAAAATTAACTCCAGATGGACTAAAGAGTTAAACATAAGACCTTATACCATAAAAACTCTAGAAGAAAACCTAGGCAATACCATTCAGGATATAGGCATGGGCATGGACTTAATGAATAAAACACTCAAAGCAATGGCAACAAAAGCCAAAATAGACAAATGGGATCTAATTAAACTAAAGAGCTTCTGCACAGCAAAAGAAACTATCATTAGAGTGAACCAGCAACCA